TGACGTCATCAGTTTGACCTAGGTCAATAAAATTTGGTCACAAGGTAGTTTCCCGGTGGGGCTATCGAACGCCGTTTGAATTTTGAAAATCGGCCGGTAAATTTCCTAGATCTCAGGGGGGGCCGAAACGCCCCCCCCCCCTCCCCCTACGGGTGGTAGGGTCCGCCGGGAGCCCTACGGGGCGCGGGTTAACCCGCGCCCTGCTGGAGGGGGTGTTTGAACACCCCCCCCCCTCTTGTGGTTTTTCGCAAATATCTCAAAAACGGCGGCGCTCTGCGCCGCCGTTTTTTGGTACACCTTATCATACATCAATTCTACACATGTTGTAAAAATTTCAGACCAAGGTCATTCAAGGTCAGGTAACCACGTCACTTAAAGTGACCTCACCTCATAAAAAGTTTCAATGTCTGTCATAGCTACACCGAGTGACCGATCGCTTTGAAACTTTCAGCGATTGCTAAGAGCAATAGCATGTACAAAATGTATATCTCAGAATTTTGATATCAATAACCTAAAGTCAGGTCAATTTTGCGACCTCCCCATTATAAGTCAATGGGAGAAAATTGAAATGCGTCTCTTTTGGACGGAAGACATTATATACACTCCCAAACACTGAATTACAAGTGGTTTAGACACACTGAACATGAAAATGGTGTCCGTGACCCCTGTTCATGCCCTGAGGTCATCTTAGGTCACGAATGGTATATAACAGTTTTTCGCAAATAACTTTTTATAGAGGCATGCTAGAGCGATCAAAAGGCCTTAGATGTGTTCAGATCGACGATACGGACCGACTGATATGCAACATGACCCTTTCCGGTCACCTTGACCTGAGGTCAAATTTTCAAGTTGACCTGTCAAGGTCAAGTTATAATTCATTCGATGCGTCTTGACGAGAGGAACACGATGACGGTAAAAGTAAGCTCGTACAAGGCTTGGGTCAAAAGTTATTGCAGAAAAACTGTTTCCGAAAAAATCGGCTATTTGTGCAATTTTTGCCCCCTGTAGGCAAAACCGTTGACGTTAGGTCAAATCTGAGAGAATTATTCAGAAAGGGTGTTAATAGGGCTATCGAATGCGCTTTTCCGCGGCGCTGTAGCTATATTGGTTCCCGAGTTATGCGTTGGCTTCTTGGAAATTGTCGACATTCGACCTGGAAATCGGCGAAATTTTGCCTTCAATGACCTCTGGTGACCTGACCTTTGACCTGACCAAAAAATTGACCGAAGTGATTTCCTCATTATTTTTGACGCTCTTTCGAACGCCGCCTTCCGCGTATTGCTACGTGGCCCAAGAGCCGAGTTAGAAGGGGGGTGTTCAAACACCCCCCCCCCCCAGCAGGGCGTGGAAATCCAGGACCCCCAGCCGGGCGCGGGTTAACTGACCTAGCCTAAAAAAGTTTTCAATCATGTCCAGCCTGCAGTGTTTGTCAGAGAGGTTTTAAACTTGGTGGATTGCATGATGTTATGGGCGCCTACAATTTGTATATCTCGGATTTTTTATATCCGTGACCTAAGGTCAGGTCAGTGACGTGACCTTCCCATTAAAAGCCAATGGAGAAAAATGAAAATGCCTCTAGATCCGTGTGTACGCATAGGAACAGTCCAAATATTTCAGAATCACAATGATTTGGACCACCCGTGACGACCAAGTTGTCTTTTTTGCTGATAGCCTCTAGAAAGGTCATCCGAGGTCATTTGAGGCTACAAACATATTTTTGCCAATAACTCGTGATTGTTAAGAGATAGAACGCTGGGGATGGTCTCATTGTGTTTGTCTTGCCGAGACGCATCGACTAATATGCAACATGACCTTTTCCGGTCAGGTTTTCCGGTCAGGAAATTTTCAAGTTGACCTTTCAAGGTCAAATTATAGTTCATTCGATGCGTCTCGGCGAGGGGAACACGATTCTGGCAATAGAAATGTTGTGGCTTTTTTAAGTCAAAAGTTATTGTCGAAAAACATTTCAGTAAAACAGCTATTTTCAGAGTTTTTGCCCTTTGGAGGCTAAACCGTTGACCTGAGGTGAAATTTTCAAGTTGACCTTTCAAGATCAAATTATAGTTCATTCGATGCGTCTCGGCGAGGGGAACACGATTCTGGCAATAGAAATGTCGTGGCTTTTTTAAGTCAATAGTTATTGTCGAAAAACACTTAAGTAAAAACAGCTATTTTCAGAGTTTTTGCCCTCTGGAGGCTAAACCGTTGACCTGAGGTCAATTTTGATAATGACCTTATCGAAAGAAGAGTTTAAGAACTATCGATTGCTTTTCCATACATTTTCCTAGCTATCATAGTTCCTGAGATAAATGCATGTTTTCTGAAAAATATAATGACGTTTGGCAAATTTTGATCTTCGATGACCTCCAGTGACCCCAATATTGCTCTAAGATGAAAAATGACCGAAATACTTTCAAACGTACGCATTGAGAGCTATGGATTGCTTTTTACCGCGTCTTTCTAGCCTCTTAGTTTTTGAGTTAGAGGTGGGTGGTAACATATGCGCCCCCCCCCCACCCCCACCCCCACCCCCCACACACACACACACTAGGGCGAAGTTGGCTGAGACCGCCACTGGGGCGCGGGATATAGTTCATATAACATATAGTTCGGTTTTTCGATGACACTGACCTGAGGTCAGTTAGAAGTCATTACAATGTTAGGCCTATGGGAAAATATTCAATTCCAAAAATACTGGAGATATCCGCTTCGCTCTATCATTTTTGTGCTTTGAAACCTTAGTACTTAATATTATGTCACTTTGTGCTTCTTTGTTTGGCCTACTTATCCATGGGTCAGGTCAAATGAGGTAACTGAGGTCAAATGACGTTTGTGCCAACTGCCAATAACTTGTGACATAATAAAGATACAGCTTTCAAAATGGTAACATTCTGTTCCTCTTGAAGAACCGAGTCGAATGATATGCAGCATTAAGCATTTAGACCATTCTTAAGACTGAAGTTGTACTGAAGATGTGCTTAACTTTTTAAGTACACTTAAGTCAGTAAAAAGAAATATATCATTCGACGCGCCCTGACGTGCTGAGCTTACTGGTGCTTTTCTTTTTGCTCTAGCTTAATTAGATGAAAAGGTATAAGCAAAAAAACTTGTGATCTGTTTTTAGCGAAATTTTTACATTCATAGGTACCCCCAATACCCCCTTAACCCTCGCCCTGGCAGGGGGGGGTCGATGCGACCCCCCCCCCTCCCCTAAGGTTTTTCGAAGATAGCGTAAAAACGGCGGCGCGCAGCGCCGCCAAATTTGACACAGCCTATGGGGCAACCTTTTTACATATGACCTGAAAATTTCAGGTCCGGGTGACCTTGGGTCAGGTCACCAGGTCAGAAAAACCGGTACAAGGTCATGGTCAAATTTCAATTTTCTTTTTGCACCTGTCCAACTCACAGTTTTTGACTGATTTCCTTCAAACTTTCAGGATGTGCTAATTTCACCGAGATGTATAACATATAGTTCGGGTTTTTTAGGTCACTGACCTGAGGTCAGTTAGAGGTCATTACGTCGTAATGTTAAGCCTATGGGAAAATACTAAATTCGGAAAATACTGGAGATATCCGCTTCGTTCTATCCCTTTTGTGCTTTGAAACCACAGTACTTAACAGCAGGTCACTTGGTGCTTCTTTGTTTGGTGTACTTATCCATGGGTCAGGTCAAATGAGGTCAACTGAGGTCAAATGACGTTTTTGCCAATAACTTGGCACATAATGACGCTAGAGCTTAAAAAATGGTATCATTGTGTTCCTGGTGATCAGCCGAATCGCATGATATGCCATATGATGCAATTTGGTTAACTTGAACTTAATTTATTAATTTAAGTTTACTTAAAATTTAAGAAAAACTTTAAGTACACTTAAGCAAGCTAAAAAGTATATCATTCGACGCGCCTTGACGTGCTGAGTTCACTTGTGCTTTTATTTTTGCTCTATCTTAATTAGATCAAAAGTTATAAGCAAAAAACTTTTGACCTGTTTTAAGCGAAATTTTTACATTTACACCCCCCAAAACCCCCTAATTATTGGCCTAGAGCAACCAAATTTGCACAGGGGCGATAACTCCAGAAGGCCCACCTACCTACCAAATTTGGTGTTTCTAGGTGCCATAGGAGCCAATCGCGAGGGGGGTCGCATCGACCCCCCCCCCCTGCCAGGCGGTGTTATGAAAAATGCCCTGCCAGGGCGGGGGTTAAATATTGACCGAGAGCAACCAAACTTGCACAGGGGTGAGAACTCTAAGGGGCCCACCTACCTACCAAATTTGGTGTTTCTAGGTGCCAAAGTAGCCAATCGCGAGAGGGTCGCATCGACTCCCCCCCCCCCCCCCCCTGCCAGGCCGTGTTATGAAAAGTGCCCTGCCCGGGCGAGGGTTAAGCTGAGGCTAACAAAAGTAGGAGCTTTTTAGCCCTAACGATCACCCAAATCAGGTACTCCATTTCTCACGTTCCGAAAACAGGCCCTTGTCGAGAAGCGTGGTGCCTTGTAGGCCAAGAAGCTTCCTGTCGCAGAGGCTAGGCTCGGCCAATCAGCATGCAGTCATTAAATTACGCAACATGATTGGTCAACACGTGATTAGCTTCCAGCCACAGCTATTTAGCGTCTACCATAGCTGTAATAACTAATACAGTCGCTACTTAATAAAAATTCTCTTTATGAATATTTTCTTTAATTTAATTTAATAATTATTTTCCTTTACAATAATTTTAAGTTTACAAAGTTATAAAGCTGGAGCAAAAAAATGGGGAAAGTGACATATTTCCCTGAATGCCAATTCATCCTTGGGAAAGTCAAACTTTGGCTTTGAAAACATCAGAGCCAGACTTGCGAAGCATAACGCTCCGCATTCTCCTATTTCAGACGACCTCAAGACAGTTCCTGTACGTGGACGACACTGGACCGGAGAGAAAGCTGCGGCTGAAGGAGGAAGTCCTACAGGATTTCCTAGAAAGTGATGACGTTGTTGTTGTTGTTGTTGTCTCCCTCCAGCCCTAGGGCGTAGCCAGTCGGCTCTGGAGGGAGACGAAGGCGGCCCCCAGGGTCGCCACTTCGTCGTTGCTGCGCAAGTCCTCGTGGGTCGGGTGGATCGATCCGAATACACGGAATCGGCTGTTCATTAGGGCGGGGCACCGCATCAGCACGTGTGCCGGGGTATCCGCCTCTTCGCGGCAGAGCTCGCACCGGGCCGCGGGGCACCTCTTGTTTTCGCACCCGGCGCAGTCGTTGGTGGGTTTCTTGCCGATTCGGTGTAGGTATTGTGAGGACCTGGACCAGTGGCCGGCGCGCAGCTGATGAACATCCACAGCGCTCGACCGGTCGCCCCCCGGGATCGGCGGGGGGAGACGGGGGCCCTGCAGCTGTCGGTACCAGCCGTCGGGCCAGGCTGCTATGGTCCTCGCGCGCGCCAGCCTTGCAGCTGCTCTCTGGATCGTCGTGGTACTCGGCGTGGCTGAGTTTTGGTCCAGGGCGGAGGCCTCCCCCGCCAGGGTGTCTGCCCTCTCGTTTCCAGGTATCCCGCAGTGCGAGGGGACCCATTGTAGGTGTATGGCTCGTCCTGAAGAGGCCAGGGAACACAGGGCTCTCCAGATTTGTATTCCGAGCGGTGTCGTCTGCGCCGTCGGTCCCTCGCGGAGGCGCGCGAGCGCCGCCATGGAGTCGGTGCAGAAGATGATGGGGTCCTCCTCGTGTGCGGGGTTGTCCGTTAGGTAGTCGGCGGCTGCTTGGAGCGCGATCATCTCCGCTCTGTAACTAGAGCAGAGGCGGCCGGCGGCGATGCGGAGCTTTGTCACCTCGCCGTCCGGTCTCTCGATGAACGCGCCTGCTCCTCCGTCGGTGATGCCTCCGGATGCCGAGCCGTCTGTCCAGCACCACGTGGCGCACTGGGGGAGTGACGCCAGGTGGAGCGTCGCGGTGGTGAGTCTTTGTTGGGCTGATGCTGCTGGTGGGAGTGCTGCACCTACATCCAGGTGGAAGTAGACTGGGCCTGTCAGGACCCATGGAGGCTCTCGTGGAGGGAGCATCGGCTCGACGGGGGGAGCGACCCCGATCGCCGCCAGGACCTCTCCTCCCACTTGGCGCCATCCGGTTGTCGATAGTCTTGTGGGGGGGTCGCTGGATGCCACCGCACGGAGCGGGTCTCCCTCAGGCAGGGCGTGGGCCTTCGCCAGGAGTCGCGCCGCCAGGACTAGGCGGCGCTCCGCCACCGGGGCGAGGCCGGCCTCCGCCATGACGGCGTGGGAGGGGGTCGAGATCGGGCACCCGGTGATCACCCGCGCCGCTGCACGCATCTCCCTCTCCAGGAGGGTTGCATGAGCGGGGGATGTGGCCGGGAGCCAGGCGGCGGCAGCGTGCTCGATGGCGCCGCGCACATACCCGTTGGCGATGGTGCGGAGTTGGCGTTCTTCGAGACCCCAGTCTCGTCCTGTGAGTCTCCTGAGTTGGGCAGTTCGCGGGCGCACTCGTTGACGCAGGTTACGGCAGTGGGGGCCGAAGTGCAGCAGTCGGTCTATGGTGACTCCCAGGAGCTTGAGGTGGTCTCCCGCGGACACGATCTTCCCCGCTACCCGGAGTGAGCAGTCGGTCGCGTCGCGGGCCCACTGGGAGAGGACCAACGCCTGCGTCTTCTCGCCTGCCACCTGCATCTTGGCTGAGCGCGCCCATTCCGAGAGAGCGTCGGCTGCTCGTTGGGCTCTCTCCTTGGCGGTCTTGATGTCGTTGGCCGCACACAGGGCCGCCGTGTCGTCGGCGTACATGTAGGCGGTTGTTCCTGGGACTCTCTGAAGTGCAGCGACGAGGGGCGCCGACCATAACAAGAACAGGGTCGGGGACAGGACACTGCCCTGGGGCAGGCCCGCCCTGAACGCCCTCACGTCGCTGTAGGTCCCGTTCAGTTCCACGCGTGCCCTTCGGTCTCTCAGGAACTGCCAAATCCATGAGATGAAGCAGAGCGGGATGTCTTGCTCTAGCAGTCTTACTCTTAGAAGTCGGTGATCCACAGTGTCGTAAGCACGACTGAAGTCGAACAAGTGATGACGTCGCCGACAAGCCCGTGGCGGTGATTTCGGTGGCCGGAGCATTCCGAACTGGCAAGTCGTTCCTGTTGAGCGCGATGTCCCGTTATTTGGCAGCTGAAGACAAAAAGCAATGGCGTGATGTCAAAAAAGGGAGCTTCACATGGAGCAATGGAGCGGACTCTCATACCAACGGCATGTTCATCTCGCCTCCGAAAACAATCACTTTGGATTCCGGAGAAGAGGCTGTCCTTTTTCTTTTGGACACGCAGGGGCTGTTCGACGACGATTCGAACATGGCTGATGCCACCAACATCTTCGCACTGAGCACACTTCTCAGCTCCAAGGCAGTGTTCAACCTTCCAAATAACTTAAAAAGCGATGACCTAGACCACCTTCAGCTTTTCGCCGAGATCGGCCGCATGGCCAGAGATCGATCTAACAGAACAGCCTTCCAGAACCTACTCTTTCTGATTCGCGATTGGGATCACCCAGCTACTCATCCGTTCGGGAAACAGGGAGGCGATGCTCTGGTCAAAAGACGTCTGAGAAGTGACAAGGTGGACCTCGACCAAAGACGACAGCACATTGAAGGATGTTTCGCAAACATCGAAGGGTTCCTCATGCCCCATCCGGGAAAAGCAGTGGCCCGTAGCTCGGACTTTTCTGACGACGATATGGACGAGGAGTTTGCGACCCATCTGGACGAGCTGCTGACCTTGCTGCTCTCTCCAGACAAGATCCCGCTGAAGATGAACGGCAACCGTCCAGTGACGTGCGGAGAGCTGGCTACACTGATCAGGATGTACGCGGAGCTCTTCCAAAGCGGCAAGCTTCCGGAACCAAAGGGAATCCTGGAGACAGTCGCTGAGGCCTATAACACAGCAGCTGTCGATGCTGAGCTCAACAACTATGTGAGAAATATGAACGAACTACTGGCGGAAGATGCTCCGCTGCTGACCGAAGAAGTCCTGAGGAAGAAGCACAGCGAGGAAAAGTCTGCAGCAGTTGAATGTCTCAAAAACAGGGACACCATCCCAGATCCGACAAAAGACGGAGGCTTCTACTGTTCACGGCTTGAGGAAAAGATAGAAGAATGGTTGAAAACGTCAGAAAAAATGTTCACAGAAAGATGTGCAAACGATCAGGAAAAGGCAGTAAAAATGAATGAAGACCTGGTGAATGAGTGTATCGAGACATTCGACGCATCGATGCGTGACTTGGAGAGTGACGAGCCTGTTGGGGAAGAGAAGATCAGAGAAGCCTACCACGAAGCAGGAAAGGCTGCTGTAGATAGCTTCACACAAGGCATGGTTACGTTGGGATCATACGTACCAACAGATTGTAAACACAAGTTGGAAGTGACTTTGAAGGAAAGGCTCGACCAAATGCTGGCAACAGACGAGAACTTGTCGAACATGAAGGTAGTGGAAAATCATTTTCAAAGTTACACGGCGCGTATGAAAGATCTTGTTGAGGGTCCAGGTTATCTGGACAATGATCTAGTGTTGGGGAGTCACAACAAGGCGAAAGCAGAGACACTGCGGACATTGAACCCGCTGATCAGCATGCTTCACGTCACTGAGTGTGGCAGTCGGTACTCTGACCTGCTGCAGAGCAGGATGGACGCATGGTTTCAAACTTCGCAGGACCTCTTTGACGAAAAGTGTGCACAGGACAGAGCGAAAGCGGACGAAGCGAATCGTGCACTTGTGGGCCAATGCTTGCAGTTATTTCAACGTGAAATGGCATCTCTGGAAAATTCCCAGACCACTACCAAACTGGAAGTAGAGGAAGCCATAGGAGAGGCAAGCCAGACGGCCATGCAGCGTTTTGAACGTGAAAAGGTTACATTTGGATTGCACAATGCTGAAGACAGTCGTCAGCAGTTGCAGAAAAACATTAAGGAAAATATTCATCATATTCTCAGCCGAGTAGAGGCAAAGTCAAACAAAAAGGTTGTCGAGCATCAGTTCCCGCAATACCAGCAGAAGATGGAGGCCTTCCTAGGTGATTGTTCGCTGGTTGACGAAGACCTTATCAAAGAAGAGCACTCAAAGGCTAAGGCTGTGCTGCTGGAAGGAATGAAGAAACTACTGAGTGTGGAACACTTAAACAATTCTGAAAATGACTACTGGGTTATGCTTCATAAGCAAATGGACGAATGGTTTGAACAATCGCAGGAAAAGTTCCGCAAAAAGTGTGTGACAAACAAAAAAGAAGCAGAGAAAACAAACGAAGCCCTTGCTGACGCATGTTTCAGTTCATTTTCATCATCTATGAAGGAAAAGATAGGACAGCTGGGTAAATCTGGCAACCCACATCAGGTGTGCGCTACGAAGCAGGAAGAGGTGCTCAGGAGGTTCGACCGGGAAAAAACGACGATGGGGTCCTACAGAGCTGATGAGACTCGGGCGTTTCTCGAAAAACGTATTAGCGAAGAGACATCACTTCTGGTTGGGAATTTCATAGAGAAAGAAAAGAACAAGAAAAAGCGTGGTCCCATTGGACAACTTCTCAAAGAGGTCTCCAAATATTTGTAAAGTTCACATGCGGAAGCTCTGGGTGACGTAAATTGCGAAGTAGCAGCCTTAGAAAACACCGAGCGTACGACTCACGTACGACCCAGCTGCCGACGGAGCGTCAAGACCAGCCGAGGCTCGCGCAGCTGCGCCCCAGTACAACCGTGTGAAACCCCGTCTGGGGAGGCAGTACGAGGACAATTGTTCTGCGCTGTAATTCATTATCTAATCCAAAATCTTAGTTATGCCTACCAATAGGTACTCTGCCGTGTCGTATATGTTACGGGCAATATGCTAACTTGGGCAATATGCAAACTGCCCGGGCAGACTACCCACCAGCCTGGGCAGTATATGTACCGCCCGGATAATATCCATGCTACCCTGCGCGCTGCACTGGGCAGTATATGTACCGCCCGGATAATATCCATGCTACCCTGCGCGCTGCACTGGGCAGTATATGTACCGCCCGGATAATATCCATGCTACCCTGCGCGCTGCACTGGGCAGTATGTAATGCATATGAAATATTGCGGCGTGTCTCTTGAATAAAGTTCAAGTTCTGACTCAAACATGAATGGGTAGTAGGCGCTACTGGGTGATGCTTCTTACCCCGCTTTTTTTCTTGTCTGTGATTTTCACATGTCCCCTTTTAACCTTCGCCCCAGTGGGGGGGAGGCGAAGGTTGAATGTTACGTACCGGGTGGCCCAGAAAAAACGTTCCGAACTTTGGAGGCCTATATATCAAATACGAGTACAAATAACGAGCCAAAAATTTCATCAAGTTTGAGTCATTTCTTTGCGCATTGGTATGCCAAATTATAACACTATACCATCATTTTCAAGCTGGCAATCTTGAGTTGAATTAAGCAAGACATTTTTGCTTTTTTTGCCGATGTCAAACGATAGTGATAATTGGGTTAGACGTCCCCTATTATAAAAAGAATAAAAAATAGAGCACGTGAATGAAACCAACACGTATGTTCTTATTTTAAATATTTTTGTCTCACTTATGTGCCAAATATTCAAATACTGAGCCAAAATGGTGCTCATGGATGCCACTCGTTTCAACACCAAATCATGTTTCGAGCAGGAGTGGCACGGTGCATGGATTACTGCTGATTACCCTCCTTTCAGTAGATCAAACAGTAAATCGACCGGATAAGAAAAACAAACTAAAGCAGACTGGTTCCTGTGCCAGAAGACCACAGAATAGCTTATGAAAAACAACATTGCCAGCAGATGACAAAAAAAAACTGGTTGAAAAGCTACCTTTTCCCAGGAATGTCAGCCAGGAAAGCATTTGAGCCACAAGATGGTTAGAAAACTGGGAACTCCTTCCGATGCCGCCGGCACAGAGCCATCGTGGTTGCCTGAGGGAATGTGTCATCCTGAAACCCGAACCATCAATGAGACTAGCTGCCAGTAGAAGCCATGGCTCTAGCCTCTAGGCCGCGGTGCCGCGGGGTGAAAGTGACCCGTTCACTCACATTTTTTAGTAAACATCGGAGCAAAAAAGTAATTTTTACATGGCATGCTTGAAACACGAACCGTTTAAAAAGTAATTTACGGAACACCATGAAAATCACACCATTTCCTGAAAATGTGTGCCGCATTCACTATTCGAAGTTTCAATGTTGTATCTTTATCACTTTCTGAGAAATATTGATTTCAAGTTGGGAACGTTTTTTCTGGGCCACCCGGTATATGTTACGCAACATGTTACCACCCTGTCGCGTTTTTTGCGTGTGAATAAAAAACCGCGGAGCTACGCGCCGCGCCGCTTGGAGTAGTTTTCTGTACTTTAATTTTGGACAATGTGTGAAATTTTTGACCCCAGGTCATGTCAGGTCAGGTAACCAGGTCAATTTAACTGACCAAGCCTGAAAAAAGTTTACGATCATGTCCAGTCTGCGGTGTTTGTCAGAGAGGTTTTAAACTTGGTTGATTGCATGATGTTATGGGCGCCTATAATTTGTTTATCTTGGATTTTTCTATATCCATGACCTAAGGTCAGGCCAGCGGCGTGACCTTTCCATTATAAGTCAATGGAGAAAAATGAAAATGCCTCTAGATCGGTGTGTACGCATAGGAACAGTCCAAATATTTCAGAATCACAATGATTTGGACCACCCGTGACGACCAAGGTGTCTTTTTTGCTGATAGCTTCTAGAAAGGTCATCCCAGGTCATTTGAGGCTACAAACAGATTTTTGCCAATAACTCTCGATTGGAAAGACTGAATGCTGGGGATAGCCTCATTGTGTTTGCCTTGTTAAGATGCATCGACTGATATGCAACATGACCTTTTCCGCTCAGGTCATGACCTTGACCTGAGGTCAAATTTTCAAGCTGATCTTTCAAGGGCAAATTATAGTTCATTCGACGCGTCTCGGCGAGAGGAACACGATTCTGTCAATTGAAATGTCGTGGCTTTTTTTTAATCGAAAGTTATTGTCGAAAAACACTTACGTAAAAACAGCTAGGTTTTTTGGAGTTTTTGCCCTCTTGAGGCTAAACCGTTGACCTGAGGTCAATTTTGATGATGACCATATCAAAAGAAGAGTTCAAAAGCTATTGATTGCTTTTCGATGCGTTTTTCTAGCTATCATAGTTCCTGAGATAACGGCATGTTTTCTGAAAAAATATAATGACAATTGGCAAATGTTTACCTTTGATTGCCTCTGGTGACCCCAATATTGCTCTAAGATGAAAAATGACCGAAATACTTTCAAACGTACGCATTGAGAGCTATCGACTGTTTTTTTTTACCGCATCTTTCTAGCCCTCTTAGTTTTTGAGTTAGAGGTGGGTAGTAACATATGCCCCCCCCCCCCCACACACACACACACACTATGGCGAAGTTGGCTGAGACCGCCACTGCACTGGGGCGCGGGTAAGGAGCAACCACCACCTAGATTTCTTGAATTCAAAATTTAGTTCCTCCACATATCAAAAGAGGAAGGATTGAGCATTCAGAAGACTATAAACCATTTGAGTTACGAGAACAGTGTAGAAAGATATACACCCTCAAACCTTAGCTGGTCCGTCTTACCCCAACTTCCCCTATGTATGTATGTATGTATGTATGTATGTATTTACGTCAGCAGACACTCCACAACAGGGTGGCTATTACGTCTCAATTGTCAGAGAATAAAACGGGTAGGAGGGTCAAAACATGGTATACGGCAAACAGCAATCATCCACCGCAGCAACAGCATACACTGACACCAACATACGCTCACTCACCCCGAATTAAAGAAACGTGTCACTGCCTGTAAGCTGCTGGCTCGAGCCGTGTCACGTGATTAGGCATGGAGTTTAAAGGCGAGGTCGGCTAATCCTCGCTGCCCAGCCGCTGTTCAGGTGGCTGGCAGACGCAAGTCATGGTCCTGTCTGGTGGAGCGATTACATTGCCGTGCATCTGCGAATGATAAAAACAGCGAGGCGAGCTTCTCGGGCTCACCCAGGGTATGCACCCTGTGCGCCACAATTGCAGTCTGCGCGTCACACATCTGGCGCGGTGTGTGCAGGCCCGGGGCCCTGTTTCACGGCGGAGCGCTGCAGTGCGCTGCGCGCGTCGGCGCGTTGGGTTTCCATGGCAATATCAACAAACTTCCCTCTGACGCTACGCTATGACGTCATCGCAAAACGCTAGCACCGCGGCGCCAGCACCATTCGCACGCTTGCAGTATTCGCACTCAAACTTCTGTTCAATTGGTACTAGTTTCTTCAAGGTCTCTGTTCGAAACGCGATTTACCATAAGCTAACGGATTGCACGCAACGTCATTCGAGTGACGTCAGGGGTGTGCCTCAGCTCCTAGCGCGCTGCAGCGTCGGGCGGTGAAACAGGGCCCGGGTCGCCCCGCGCGCGAGACACGTGATCGTACCTGCGGAGACCGGCCACTACTCTGGTAGCCAATTTCACGTTTTCAATAGCCTCTCGTCGTTAGCCGCGGAGCCGTTCCCGTACACAACAGACAAGCTCACGCGCCTGACGACCAGGCCCTACACGACTGCCCCACCCTAGTAGCCACACTTTAACCTTATTGGTAAAATAGAAGCCGCCTATTTTGATGTATCGGTCAGGCATGTTCAATAAGGAATGAAATATGTCTTATGTGAAATTTCTCTGTTACATGGATATGCTGTTCTGGCGGGTCTTGCAACCCGACAACGATATTTCAGCTTTGAAGCCTTTTGCGATGTGCATGTGCATTGTGCATCTTGACCAAGAAACTATAACAATGCTATGCAAATTTTGATGAATTAGTTATTTTCTATCCGAAAGATACATGTGTACCTAGTCACCACAAAGATATGCCATATCAGGACGAGGTGAAATGTAGTAGCGTGCTGCGATGGATACCATTCATCATTTTACTCGATCCTTGACTTCATGGGGTGAGACCGAGGTCTCAAGAGTGTGTCTTTGATCTGAAACAGTAAAAAAATATCTTCACCTTGGACACGGTTAAAAACAAACATTTGCCGTGTTTTGAGCCCAATCGATCTTAGCCGTTTTCACGACGGCCATCTGGTACACATTTGGTGCACATCTGGTGCAGATTAGGTGCAGATTTGGTCAAATTAGGCTCAGTGTGTCTCTTAGTAGCTATCAGCTAGGGTTACACTAATTGCTTATATGCATGCTTTGTGATGTTATCGGAGAGCATCATCGATTAAAACACTGTAATAAATTCATAAAATAAAGATATTTGCTGTAAAAGAGATTTCTCGTAGGTTCGCGCTCGCAAAGACAGTGGTGTGGTTCCGGGTCTATGTATTGGCTTTCCCACACTGTCTTTGGGTGAAGGAAAAAGCCCATAGCCGATCACAAACAATCAAATGATAAAGCTTTTGACAGAGCACAAGTATGTCTAACACAGTTGCTGGCTAGATACATATGCCAAAGCTGGCGGCGGTGGGGCGGACGGTGGATGTCGCGCCAAATCGAACCGTGCGCTCAGGTGACACGCGCGCAGTGAAATGGCCGGGCGCAGCCGGCTACCACTCGGGTCACATTGTAGATGGCGCTGGGCTCGCGCTCGCCCGCGAGAAAGGTCATTTGTGCTCGTGCGCGCAAAAATGCTGCATTTCTCGTAGGTTCGCGCTCGCAAAGACAGTGGTGTGGTTCCGGGTCTATGTATTGGCTTTCCCACACTGTCTTTGGGTGAGGGAAAAAGCCCAACAACCCCCAACCGAACCCGCGAACACATCACTGCTAACTTTGTCGAGAATGCAGCTAGACTGCAATTAATGCATTGGCTAACTGCAGATCAGTATACTAAACTCAGCGCCATTGTTGCTCTTTTAACTACCGAGAGCTGTTTTAAAAACGAGTCCAGGGAATATGATTTGCCTGGGGTCAGCGCTCCTGGCACCGACGCAACGTTCAGACTAGCGCTGGAGCCGGGTGTGGCGCTAATTGGTGAGTCTAGGGGGATGAGCGGTCCCGATCCAACGTCTCTGGCACCGATGCAAGCGGTCGGACCAGCGCTGGAGCTTGGTGTAGCGCTGCGTGACGAGTCTTAAGATGAGCGGCCTAGCGCCAGCGTCTCTTGCACCGATGCAGGCGTTCGGACCAGCGCTGGAGCCGGGTGTAGCGCTGCGTGACGAGTCTTAGAGATGAGCGGCCTGGCACCAGCGTCTCTGGCACCGATGCAGGCGTTCGGACCAGCGCTGGAGCCAGCTGTAGCGCTGCGTGACGAGTCTTAGAGATGAGCGGCCTGGCGCCAGCGTCTCTGGCACCGATGCAGGCGTTCGGACCGCATGTTTATTAATCCCACCCAGAAATGACAAACAAGCTCTCTGATTGGCCAGTTTTTGCTGACAGACGCAGAATATTTGTCAGCCATAGAATACAATGCTTTAGCACTTTTTCAACAATGACGCATACGTTACATTTGCAAGTTAGGGCAGCTAAAATATTCTAATTGATCTTTCAAGTTAAATATAACATTTTTTGGAAGCCCGTACAGGTTGTTTCTAGTAAATTAGGTGTTACAAAGTATTAAAAGAAATGATTATTCTCTAATAAATTAAGAACAAAAGCTTTTAGCCACTAAAATCGAGTAGTAAAGTAATCTTGACTAAAATCCGCCCGACGTCTCCAGAATCCTGCGTGCGGGGACACCGCAGTCTCGGTTTCTATGTTATCGCAATGGGGAAAAATTGAAATTTTAAATGAGTCAGTATCGTGTTAGGAAGTACGGATGCTTCCAAAACTGAATGCCTTTCAATTCAAATCCCAGAATATCCTTTCGCGGAAATAGCCCTTCTCAGCCTGTCGGCCCATTCTCCAACGCTACAAGTCTGAACAGTGAGCGTCTCGTGCGTTGCTGACGTATCGCGATAAAAAGGACGGTGTCATATAATCAAATGAACTTTTCTTACGCATAGAGCATTTGAAACCACACACCAAACGCCTCCCTTTCCTGTTTTCTACTGCTGCCTTCTTCACATACCTACCCAATGACCGTTCCAGCTCGACGTTTCTTATCGACTGCCTCACATTCAACGGCCATATCCCACCCAAGATTCATCCCACCTACGCTGAAAACCAATCGGAGGCACTTTCAATCGTCCCTTGAATAAAATTGCTACCTTCCTACACGCATTTCGAGGAGAACGAGGCCCAGAAAAGGCATGCATAAAACGATCGGTTTTGGCCTCCATGGCATAAGCCAGCAGGCCTAACAGCATATTGATTGAAGAACATTTTCGAGGACATGATATCTATTAGATATTATTTGCAAAGGTATTGTAAACATAACGTCCGCATATCGCAGCTCTGAATCTGCTGGTGTCAGTCCCATGCAGGGCAGCCACCAGACCACCGCCCCGCCGCCTGCCGTTCACTGATCATACAGGCCGGCTGTCCCAGTGTCTCATCAAACGATCACAGCTGACTCAGTATTTATAAAATGCCAAACAAAAACAGACACGCAATATTGTGGATCATGCCAGCTCTTTAAGTCATGCGCGTGGATATATATCGGTAGTTTTCCTATCACAGATCACACTGAGCAGAGCAAAATCGTAGACACGCAGCAATAAATAATGCATTATCAAGTACACCGTCACCGATCGATGCATCGTGGAATACACCGAATAATATGTACATCACTGCTTTAACGTTCCCCCAGGCGGGTGGGGGCGTTTCTGGCCACACCTGACAATTTTGTGCTTGCATAAATAAAACGACACGAAACTTAGCATAGCTTATGTATAATGCATCGATTCGCATCATTTGTGAAAAAATGTAACCCCATGTCACCTAAGGTCAGGTCAGGTCACCATGACGCAGAAGTTTGAAACTCGAGCTGTTGCATGAGAGAATCAGTACCAACATCTTGAATATCTTTAATTTTGATATCGGTGACCTAGGGTCAGGTCAACTTTGAGACGTCTCCAGTTTCAGTCAGTATGAGGAACTCGAGAGGCTCTGCTTTTGAAACAAAAACACTAAAACATCGCGATCTATCGTATGCTCCTGAGGTCATCTCAGGTCATGTAACGTCTCCAACATTTCATTTTTGTACATTGATTTTAGATGGAATGTGGCCAGAGCGCTAAAAACATCATAATCATAGGCGGCGGAACGGGGAGGGCACCGGGGCACCGTAGGTGTTCCGCCGCTACTGATGTTAATCTCAATCTCAATGTAACGAATCGACTGACATGCAATATGGCATTTTCTGCGACTTTGACCTGAGGTCAAATTTATTAATTTGACCTTGTTAGGTCAACAAGACGAGAGAAACGCAGTGCCGGTAAAATCAACGTAATAAAAGGTTGGTATCAAAAGTTTTAAAAGAAAAGACGATTTCCGAAGCACGCCGATTGCTCAGTTTTTGCCCTTTGGAGGCTTAACCCTAGTTGACCTTAGCTCAAATCTGAGAACCTGAAAGATTTTCGAAAGCGCTATCGAATTCGCTTTTCCGCGGCGCTGTAGCTTCTTTGGTTCCCGAGTTATGAACCAATTTGTGAAGTTGTCAAAATCGGGAGCCAAAATTCGTCATCATTTTACTTTTGGTGACCTCCAGTGACCTCAGCGATGAACTGATCGAAAATGACCTGTATTATTCTGAAGGAAAATAGCGAGCTATACATTGATTTTACTGCGTCTTTCCAGCTTTGTTACTGTGAGATAAAAGGTGTGGAAGTATATAAAAAGTGCTATATTGCTCACCAATAAAAATGACAACCAGTTCAGCTACCAATCCACTCAACCCTCGCACTCGCTGCTCCCATTCTCCCAAACCATTGATTTTATTCACTGCTCTCGTGCAGTAATAACTTTACTCGTGCGCGTTAAATCGACTGATCCCCACACTCCCCCCTGACATCAAAGTCACAATTGACCTCCCCTGACTCCCCCCTGATCTCAAAGACACAAGCGAGATCAATAAGTTAACACAGTCAGTTTCAACATCACACTCTCGTTTACAACACGCTGTCACGAGTACATCAGTCGTTGGGGTTCCCTTCGTAATCGCGCAGAGCGTCTCAGTGGTTGACCTTCTGTCTGTACCCCATCTCCAGTTGGTTCTACTGCAACAGAGCCGTCGGTCTGGCTTGGACAACCGAACCGGAGAACTAATGGCTCTTCATCTTCACTGGAATCTTGCACGTGCCGGGCTGTAACCTGACTGGTGTTCTGAAGGTTTCCGGGATCCCCTTCTGCCACTCGTGGTCTCAGGTCTCTGATGTGTCGAGGTATACCATCCACTTCTACCGCCTGCTCAGATATGATGTTTGTCACAACACCCTGTTCATAGCGCGTGTCACAGCGGACCTGCGGTGGCTTGACCCACACACACTCACCAACTTCGTATGGGCTCTCTGCTGTGTTTGGTGTCCGTGGTGCCATCATGCCCGCATCCCACTGGACGCAGCTGCTCAAGATACCAGCAGGAGTGGACTGGGCGTCGTTCAGGTGCCGTGGGGTTGCGTTATAAATGTCAACCGCCTCCAAAACACTGCATCCTTTTCTAGCAGCGATGACTTTGACCGTGCGATGGTTTCTTTCCACTATTCCATTTCCAGATGGAACATATGCACAGCGGTATCGCACTGTGACGCCCCATTGTGATGCGAACTGAGCGAAGCATCGACTGCGAAAGGCTGTCGCATTGTCTACCAGCACCTCAGCCGGTGGGCCTCGATCCACAAACAGCACATCAAGCTGCTCTGCAACAGCCTCGGCCGTCTCTGCACTCAGTGGCTGCCATATTGCGAACCGGCTTGGTCCACAGTCCACCGCCGTGAGATAGGGTCGCCCGTGGACGTGCGTTACGTCAATCGCCAATCTTGACCACGTTGTGTCCACCTCAAGTTTGCCTGACCTCCACTTTACGGGGGCGGGGTCGATAGACCGACAAATTTGACAGTCTGCGACGACCTTCTGCACCTCTTTTCTGGTGACGTTCGAATTTTCAAGGCGTGCAAAGTAATGCGTGCGACGAATGCCTGGATGGCCCCATTCGTGATGCACACGAGCGACCAGGTAGCCTATGGCATCCGTACCGGTCTCGACAGCCAGTCCGCATGCAGGAGGCGCCTCATCTTCTCCTTCTGCCAGGGCTCGAAGCCAGCGGTGTGGTACGCGCGTCAGGACATCAGCTTTGTTCGCTTCAGATTGTACCAGTTCAACTGACAGCTGCAACTGGTATTCCTTCACAAGCGACGTAACTATCTCCACTCGGCGTCGAATCAGCATTTCGCTTGCTGCCTTCGTTCGGAGTCTTGTTTTACCACTGAGGCCGTCCGAAATCCACCGATGCACAGTTGCAGAATCCGTGTAGAGGGTGATCTTTTGAAAGCCCCAAGCCAGTGCCAAGTTAAGGCCTTTCACGACCGCGTCAAGTTCCGCCATATTGATGTGCGTCACGTCACTGGTACGAAGCCACGCACCATCTTCAATGACTGAACCGCCAACTTCCAGCGCCACACCGATGGCTACTGAGCTGGCATCCACCCATAGATGGGCTTCATCATCGCCGCAAACGTCCCAGCGGCCACGAACCGGATCCGATTGCCGTACTCTTTCTGTGACCTCCACCAGGAAGTTTCGCACGTGCTCACAGCGAACCTGATCATCCCAGCTCTCCGTCACTGAGTTCGCTCGGCGCTTGATGAACGCCACCGCTGGTCTCAGCCAGCTGCAGACCGGGAAGTGTCCCACGAGCTTTCCACACAGGGAGAACACAGAGCGCCGCGTTAGCTCGTCGGGGACGTCATGGCTGTCATCTCCTCTCCTCCACTGTAGCTCGCCGCCTTCTCCGTGGACAGACAGACCCAGGAGCTTGGCTCCATCACGCGCGCGCTCTGGCTCCTTTGCCACGAGGCCGAACTTTGAAAGATGTTCACAGACGCTGTCTGCCGACACAACATCCTCATTCACGAGAATGTCGTCCACGTAGCTGCTGGTCCCCTTCTTCACCTCTGGATCGAGTGACAGGACCGTGCTCAGCACCGACTTCATCACTGACGGTGATATGTTCATTCCAAACCCGAGTCGCGATAGAGCCCATCTCTTGCCCCTGAATATCACGGTCTGATACTTCCACAGGGACGGATGAACATGAATTTGCAGATAGGCTGATTTCAAATCCACAGCCGCGACATTGACTCCCATTTTCCGCCATTGTCTCATTTTCTCAGTGCATACGTCTGCATCAGCCGTGTGAGTATCTAGATGTTCATTCAGCTCTCGATAATCCAATACGGGCCTCACTTTTTTCTTGCGCTCCTGCAGCACTGCCATCAGCGGTATCAGTCCCTCTGGTTGCCCGTGCTCTGTCTGATCGTACGGAATGAGCCAGTCTTTATCCACCCATCTTTGTAGCTCCTCTTCATACTCAGCCCGACGATCTTCCGGCACAGTATAAGACGCGACTCTGTTTTTCAGTGTGTCTGGCTCTCCTCGCTCCGTCCACTTCCACTCAACCATCCAAGTCTTTGTGCCCGAATCAAAAACAATCCTGTAGTCTTTCTCGTCGATACACAATGACTCAGGTGAGTATACGGTTCTTTCGTGAAAAACAACCGGCATCACGCCTGACGGAGCAGCAAGATCCTTTCCTGCGGCTGGCTCAGACTGTTGTTCCTTTTGTTCTGACTCAGATCTCTTCTCTTCACTCGCTGTTGCACCCACAGACAACGAGTAGGTGTCACCCACCACAGCTGCTGATTCAAACCTGACAGAATCTGAACTTGTCTCCTCACTTACTGCTGCACCCACAGCATCATCCACCACCGCTGCTGGTCCAAACCTGACAGCGTCTGAACTGCTGATCTGCACCCCTCCCATTGCAGTGATCGCGTTCATGCCCAAAATGAAATGAAATCCCAGAGGCTTATCCTTTACTACGAGAGCATGAACTTCGACCTCGGTTACCTCGGGCACTCGAATCCGCACCGTGCCTTCTCCAGCACACCGCATCATCTGACCATTTATTGCCTTCAGGTATATGTTTCTTCTCCGCCACTGCCGACAAACAGACTCGTGACAGATGCACAGACTGCACCCAGAATCAACCAGTGCAAGAACTCGAGTACCATCAACCGACACTTCTGTGCAAGGCAGCGCCTCTATTTTTGGACAGTCGGAGAGAAGGCTGGCGCTGACTGCTCTCCCACGGCGTTTTCCGGACACTGGCGGCGGAAGTGCGGACCACCACACCTGAAGCACTTGACATCGGTGCGCTTCTCTGTGCCCGTCCTCTTGAGGAGACAGTCTCTGGCGAGATGGTTTGCTCCATTGCAGTTGAAGCAGCGTCTCTCATATCGCGCTCCAACTCCACCGCAGCATTCGTCGGCTACGACTGGTGGCGGTGATGTGATTGCTGCATAGGACTGCGCCTTGACAGCGAACGCATTCGTGTCCGCCAAGACAGCACGAGCACGCACCAGCAGATCATCAATTCGCATAGACTCTATGCGACAGCCGGTACGTAGAACCTGTCGCACCGATGCCGGGAGACCAGAGATGAACGCACATACTAACCCGCGCTCACTGATTCCGCCAAACAATGCGGACAGACGTTTCAGCTCAGCAAGAAAGACATCCGGTGTCTCCGATGGTAAAAGCTTCCGCGAGACGAACTTCTCGTAGGCCACGAACGAATCGTGCGCAAATGCTGCTGTGAGTGCCTCCTTTACTTTAACGACATCTTCTTTATCTCCTTCAGGGATCTGCTGATACACCGCAAATGCTCCCCCCGTCAGTCGAAGAGGTATAACTTCCTCAAGCTCGTGAATCCCTCTCAGCCTGCATACTAGCTCCACTTTTTCTATCCACTCAGTTACAGATGTTTTAGAATCACCACTAAACTCTGGTATTAAGCGCAAATCAAGATCCGACATAATTAAACTGAAAATAGGGCCGAAATAGCTTGTGAGATAAAAGGTGTGGAAGTATATAAAAAGTGCTATATTGCTCACCAATAAAAATGACAACCAGTTCAGCTACCAATCCACTCAACCCTCGCACTCGCTGCTCCCATTCTCCCAAACCATTGATTTTATTCACTGCTCTCGTGCAGTAATAACTTTACTCGTGCGCGTTAAATCGACTGATCCCCACAGTTACATTCCAAGATAACCTGGTGTGGCCGAATACGCCTCCCCTCCCCCCCCCCCCACAAAGTTGGCTGAGGGCCACCCGGGCGCGGGTTAATAACATGGCGCAACAGGTTTTGTTATCAACTTGTCCTTTTCACACATAGGCGACACCTAGATATCACAGCCAACGCCTATCACCAACCTGATGGTGGGCTTTGGCCAGCGATCGCCGATCGGGGCCAACGCGGGCTCTTACTCGTCCACGATCAGCACGAATGATGAATTACAGCTGCTCCAGACCGCCACTTCAATCAAGCGTGTAATCCCCAGTCCACATCAGAGCCACTAGTGAAACTCTACTGAGCGGGACAAACTGCACTGCATCTTTGACCTCCTTTGCAGCTCTGGCTTTTCAGAATTTGAACAGCCTTCTCTTCCCCACCCTTCTGTGCTGATGAATGATGATCCTTTGAAAACCTGGAAAAAAGACAGTACAGAGAGATGAAACTGTTTTGCTATGGGTCTGTTCCAGTCGCACTTCCTAACACATCTAAACGACCTCCAAGAGCAAGATAAGAGGAGGATGGAGCAGGGCCCTCCTTGGCTTTGTAGGGGCGAAAGCTGCCACTGGAACAGGGAAGCAATCTTGGGGGAGTTAAGAGGTGTTAGGAAGTGCGACTGGAACAGACCCTATGACAATGTCTGTGCATAGAACGAGCAGATGGTAGAAGTGGTCAATTGGTGAGTGGAACAAATGCAAATGTCAGGAAAGCAGTCATATTTTGTAACAGACATGATGCAGATGTTGGCCAAGCTGACAAGGCAGATATAATTACCAGCTTGTTACACTTTAACTCATCATATTTTCATGTTTAACAGAGGGAATACAATGTAAAAAGCCTCAGCCAGATGAAAGTAGATAATATAAGTTCTATAGAAAAATGTTGATGCAAGTAATGTAGGATTTGAGGTTCTTAAAGGCTAGGTAAATGTATTCCCTGTTGAACAATTCTTCAGCATTCAGACATTGATGTCAATGTACATGCATCAACATACCTGTTGTGAAGTGATTCTGGGCTGCTTTCCTGAGCAGTTGATGGCCATGACTGGAATCTTAAAAACACAGCTAATTTTACCATTTTGTTAACTATGACTGAGGATCTTCTGTGCTGAAAGAGATAGACAATAGACATCAGCTGATAGACATTGTACAACTCATTTGCGAAACAAGATCAATTCCATTTAGGGGTGGGTCTTAAGATAATGATGACATGAATGAATTTCAGTTTTCACTTTTCACCAGTCCAGGTACCTAGTGACAAAATGAAATATTGTAGGAGGAATCAATGATAATGTTTCTGGTAGAAAATGCAGGCTTTTTATAATTCAGTTAAAGGGACCCTCCCACCTTACCATTAGATTTGAGTTGAGATAGCCAAAATGGGGTCCCTGGCTCACAATTACCGGTTTCGGCACTCACAACATCGAGAAATGCCTTAAATCGGAAATATTGAATTTCAAAATTGCAGCATTTTGATTCAGAGGGGCTAATGCTTAGGAATACCCCTCTGAATGTGTGACGTCAGCGCAAATATCTAACGATTTTTAAATGTTTGACTAAAACGTTTTGTAGCACGCGGTGGTATATGCTATTTGCGCGCAACATCTGCCGCAAACGCCGCACTTCTAAAATAAAGTCACTAGAAACAGCGGAGATCCCAAAAAAAGTAAACAAAAGTAAAAGTCAAATATCTTGAAAACCGGTGAATATTTTTCGGTGAAATTTGGTAGATATTCGTTTTCGCTCTTTCTGAACCGAGCGACATCACTTTCATGCCAATTCATAAACTTTTTTGAAGGTGGGAGGGTCCCTTTAAAGCTTTAGATGGAGGATTTTTGGAAAATATTTGCCGTAAATAACATTGGAATCTCAGAAACACAAATCAAATCTTATTTTCTGATGTCAAAAACAAATCAAACTGTTACCATTGAGCACCAAGCAGCATGCTGAGTAGTCATTGACTAAGACATATGCAATGCATGTTACACATGGCTACAGTACTTTGAAATAGCTTTTATAAATGTATGCACTCATGTAATCTAAACATGCAAATATTTCAGCTTAAACTTGTTTTACACTAAACGTGCTAAGCCAAGAAACAAATATAAATATGAGAAGCCCAAAACAAGTTATTGAGAACATAAACAAAGGTAACATTGCAACAAAACTGAGTCAAAACACTCAAAACTAAGTGTTTCAATGAACGCAAGATTGATGCGTGTCACAGAAGCAGCTGTCCACTGTAAAGCAGAGTGGGCACAGCATGGTGAAAGCATGAAGTGGTGCACAAAACTGAATTAAGAACTAAGAAGAGTGCCCGACTAACTGTGTCTGCATCCCTTTACATGTAGGTACTTACAAAATTTGAGCACAACCAGCCAAAATTTAACTGGGAAGGAGGTCATACCCACTCGCACATCACAGGTGTGCAAAAACATGTCTGTAATACCTTATGCCTAGATACATAAAGATGAAAATGTGTTGTGTCTGTGTGGTTAGTGGCATGACGTGACATGACTATTATCAATACCTGACAGGCTGACAGTGCAATTATCATGATATTATCATTATTGCAATTGTAATAAAAATGATGAAATGAACTTTTCTTCTCACTTTGTATAGCCAAAATACCTGAGATTTTTTTTGTATCAAGTTTGCGTACTCCAAAATCGTATTTATTCTGCTTCCTCCAGTACCTAATAATTTTGCGCAAGACTATTATCCATTAGATGTAGGGTCGATCATGACCACTTGACTAAAAATTTGTTCACTTGGTTCTTACAAGCCTGTTAACTCACTACACAAGGGGAGGGGGCACTGCAAAAGGGCGTGGAAATCGCCACATTTGTCTCAAGATGTTTAATGCATAATAATCGGCTCCGAAATATCGTCGTATAAGTATGCAGGGTCACCAAAGAAAAAGGCAATGTTATTTTCAAATATCAAAGCAAATTGGCAACATCTAGCACAATGAAACAGATAATTCCACACCTAACGAGGCCGGCCGAGCCCCCGCTACCGCCATGGCGGCCGCTCAAGTCCAACTGGCCGGCAACTGGCCAATCAGGGGGCTTGTTTGTCATTTCTGGGTGGGATTAAAAAACATGCGTTCGGACCAGCGCTGGAGCCAGCTGTAGTGCTGCGTGACGAGTCTTAGAGATGAGCGGCCTGGCGCCAGCGTCTCTGGCACCGATGCAGGCGTTCGGACCAGCGCTGGAGCCAGCTGTAGCGCTGCGTGACGATACCAAGAGACCGCTGTGGCCCCTCCCTTCCCGTGCCGGGACCGGCGTCCGAGCCACCATCAGCCGCCACTTGTGAGCCGTGTGGTGCCGTGGAGATGCCCGGACGGCCAGTGGCGCTAGACACGCCAGCAGGAGCAGACGGGGTCACACTGCGCGTTGTTGACGGTTGCAGGTGGTCCACGTCTTGGACCCAGGCGTCAATTTGCAGCATCGCCTCTCCAGTAAATCATGAAAAAAAGGGAAGGCCATGAGTGTTGCCATAGGCGTAGGAACGTTTTCGAAAGTGGGGGGGCCAGGGTCCCAGAGGTCCAAAACCTAACCTACCCCCAAAATCCGATTTCTCCTCGGATTTCGGCCACTTTGTTTTCGCAAACATGCTCAGAGGTAAAAAAAAAAAATCGAGACAAAAAAAAAATTGGTTGAAATTTCAGGGAGTCTCCCGTCCATAAACTCAAACTGATGGACGCGTTCCCCTTTCCTCCGCAGCCGTTGGCACCCATGCAAATTCCAGAGGCATCCAGCAACTTTTTCATTACGAGCAAGCGTGAAACGTGCAAAGCGAGTCTTTTCAATATACCTATAAAAATCAGCATGAACGGCCCAGCTAGGCTCAGCCAGGCCTATAACGTTTTTAAGAGGTATTATATCAGCGACCACTGCAACTGGGCCGATTGACTATCACTTATCAGAGGCCGGTGTGGGACTTTTAGACGGTCTGGGCCTTCAGAGGCCAGTTTAACCCTCCACGGCCCGGTCCTATAGGTTTTCTACATACGACGCGCTGGCCGAGGGGGCGGGGGGCGGGTACGACCCCCCTCGCCGTTTCGCCCCAGGTGGAGCTAGCGCGTCGCGGTAAAACGAGCGTGTGCGCCGTTACGAGACGCAGAGATCGATACCCGATTTTATGGTCCTAGGCCAACCGGTGACCTCTGACACCGTTCCGTGCTTCTATCCTCAGGATACTGAAATCCTTCTCCTCCACACCGCAACCCCCTCCGGGCTGGACAGGCAACTTTATCTCATGCGGGCTGCTCCCTTGGAGCGGCACCGCTGCTCCCGAGGGAGCGCACCCCGTAGCCGGGTGCAGTGAGTGCCTTGGGGCTGGGTGGCCTGTCCTCTGAACGGGCTCAGCCCCGGCGACTCACTAGGGTGCCTGCCCAGACCAATGTCTCCCCCTATATCCTATCATCCTTCCGGCTCTGAAATGGTCTCATTGGACCGAAAGGGCCTAACCCAACAAAACAAACAAAAACCGGTGACCTCTGAGGTCAGGTCAAGTGCCTCAAGGCACGGTTCCGTTTTTGGTGAATAACTTCGCAAAAAAATGGCCGCAGAGCCGCGATTTTGCCAGCATCGTGTTCGCCTCTCTCAGGCGCGTCGAATGATATACTTTTTGTTTGGGTGAGGTAAACTTAGGGTGTTGACCTCGGGTCACGGTCAGGTCCGCGTCCCCAGGTCACGAAATTGGTCGAAGGAGGTCATGTCGCATATCATTCGAT